CCTGGTTTCCAGTCCACCATGCCTCAGAGTGACATTTCCCACACAATCTTCTGCTCGTCACCTCGTTAATTATGCCACTGGACTCGTGGTCGCCTTTCTGAGGCAGTCATTCATTCAGCTGGAGACGCGGACGTGTTTGTCATGGCCCAGAACTTTCAATGTTATATTTCAAGTCCGCCTATCCAGCATTACAGATCTTGCAAACAAGGAACTGCCCATCATACTGCAGTGTTTGACTATTATCATTGAAGACATGGACCTGAGGAAAGGAAACCCAGCTGTTTGCTTCACAGGCAGGGATCTGAGGGGTCTGGCAGGCAGGAGGGTGGAGAGGAGGCCAGTATTTTTACCTCCTGACCACCAGATCCACTTATCCTATACTAGTTTCCAGTCCCCTTTATGCCTTATCTGCACAACGTGCATCTCACGGTCCCTAGCTTGCCTTCTTAGTGTAGAGGGTCTTTAGCTTAGCTTCAGGCTGCCATCCTTCAGTTTGAAATGGGGAGGCAAGTGGCTTGTCATGGGAGGGGTAGGGGGAGCTCGAAGAGGCAAGGGGTGGGCATGTCACAGTTGGTCCTGCAAGTCGAGTGCACCTGGAATGAGGATTACAGAAAGGTCAAGTGGGAGCTGTGAAGACATGATTTGTGCCAGTTTTCCTTGCGTTAAAAATCCTTCCATGAATTTGCTTTTCTATGCCTCTAGAATCCACTCCAGCCTTAGAACAACATTCTGACCACGATACCACTTTCTCTCTGATCAAGTGTTCACCCCAAAAAGAGTGGTTGAATCTTTTGTGACCAAGATCAAACTCACAGAAAACCCCTGAATCTTCCACCCCTTTCTACCTTTAATCCTCTCTTTGACCAAGTCTTTTTCACTTCTTCTAATCTTTTCTTCAACCTCTTGGTAAAAAAATAAAGTTTCAAGTTAAGTGCTGAACTAAAAGACAAATATCTGCCAAATCAACATAAGGAATGGAAACGGAACTGGTCAGTGGGTAGAAAATATCACGCCCAGCTTTTAAGATGGCAAAACCAATAATACTCATCAGTCTCGATCACACCAATACCAGCCATCTCTATAATAATCCAAGATTGCTCAGGATAAGGAAAAGGCTATTACACCCAACAGGCTCAATTCTGATAAACTGCTACTCAGCTGCCTCTGAGCCGCAGTGAAGGCAAGGCAGTGAAAATTGTCGGGAAAGAAATGGCAGAAAAGTTAGAATTCCCCCAAGAAGTGTGGCTTCTCATCCATCAAAACTAATTTTGACAAATTATAGAATGCTCCGAAAATCTGTTTTCCCAGTTGCGGAGAAAACACATCATGTTGTTTATTCTGCACAATTAAAACACCAGTGGACTGGGTGAAGACGGTTCACTCAGTCTAGACTTATACTTCACAACATTCTGAAGCTATGCCTGCTGGGCAGACAACACAAGGACGGGCAGGATGCAAGTTGTGAGTAGGTCACAATGAATCAGTGAAGACATACAGATGAAGTGAATGGGTAAAAATTTGGCAGATGGAGTGCAGTGTGGGAAAGTGAGGTTGTCCACTTTGGTAGAAACAATAGAAAAGCAGTATACTATTTCGAGGAAACAATAATATGCCATGGTACAGAGGGACCTGGAAATCCTCACATATGGATTACAAAAAGTTAGCAACAAGGCAAATGGAATGTTGCCTTTATTGCAAGGGGACTTTTGTACAAGAGATTGGTGAGGTTGCACCTAGAGTAATGTGAACAATTTTGGCCTTCTGACTTAAGGAAGGATATACTTGCAGTGGTGACAGCAGGGTTCACAGACTGATCTCTCGAATTGAGGGGTTATCTTATGAAGCAAGGCTGGGCAGGTCAGATTTATACTCAGTGCAGTTTAGAGGAATGAAGATGATTTTATTTAAACATATAAGAATATGAAGAGGTTCAACAGGTAAATGTTGAGATATGTTTCCCCTCACTTGGGAATCAAGAACGAGGGGATCTTAATTTGAAAATAAAGATAAGATGGAGATGAGGAAATATTTCCTCTCTCAGATTGTCATTAGTCTTTGGAAGTTCCTACCATGAGAGTAGTGCATATTGATTCATGAATACATACAAGGTTTTATTAGACAGATTTGAGATTGTCATCTAGTAAATTATTATGGGGGGGGGTGCAGAAAAGTTGAGTTGAGGCCCCTATCAAATCAACCATGATTAGTAAATGATTGGACAGACTCAAAAGAGCCAAATGGTCTACTCCTGCACTCAGTTCTTGTGTACTTATGTGCCAACACTTTGCAAGACCATGGTCAGAGAAGGAATTACGATAAGAACTGAGAAGTCAGTTCTAAGATCAAGTCCTGCAGTCGCAGTTCAACCAATCCACCAAAGAAAAAGCTTGCACACAATTACCATGGTAAGACTTTGTCGGTTATTTCTGTTTGATTGTAGACATTCAAATAGAGAGCAGATCACCACCTGTTACACCAGAACTACTGTAGACTATAGGAAGGCTTTAGGCTTGACCACAGGTACAGAAGCATAAGTTTTAAATTAACCAACAGGTTTAGCTTAGTCTTTAATTTGCACTTTTGTAGTTTCCTCTGACTGTACCCAATAATGTAATTTGGCATGAATACTAGTGGTAGCCTTTGCTCACTTAATTAGCAGTACGCCAACATTCTGACTAGAGTCAAAATTTACAAATCACATACACCATTTTTTCTTCAGTGCACGAAATCTTGTAAAGCAATCACGGAATGTCATTGGAATTTTAAAGCAAAAAACATGGAAACCCTACTTACTGAAAAAAATAAACTCACATATGAGATCAAATGAAAACATTGCTTTAAGTAGCCTTAATTGTTATGATTTTACACATTCCAAAATCTAAAGGAAATACTTGTCGCTCAACCCAACCCAGCTGTTCTCAATGATGGAGCTATTGAGAAAGGAGCCTGATAACGAATCAGAACTTTACTTTTTCCATTTTAACTTTTCCTGCAAGTTTTGCATTTTTATAGACTTGAGTATATGCGATTAAAATAGCAATGCCACAGAGTACATAATTGTGCGAGATGCAAGTGGAATTAATTTCATTGCACTACCATCTGTCTGGTCACTTAAGTTGCTAAATTTGCTTTAATAAAGCTCTAGTTGTTGACAATCCCTATCCCGTTTTCTTCAATTTTATTCGAACTGTGCTCACCCGATCAAAAACCTTACTTACATGCAGCAGAATAGCAAACCCCCAACCAAATGGATTTAACGTATAGGAACATTTGTTAGAAAATAAAGTCAACAATTGTGTTCTAGTTTCAGAACAACAGTGACGCATTTTGATCTGCAACGTGACTGATTAAAACAATTAATTCCGTATGTATGCGCAGATTAAGGACCAATTATAGTAATAGACCCAAGATCAGAGATTTGAAAAAAATTCTACATGTAAAGTTCTTGAGTAAGGAAAAAAGCTATCAACTTCCTGTCACGCCACTTCTAAACAGGCAATAAAAATCAGAATCTCTAAAAATTGCTCAGGCAATCAGAGTTAAAAGGGACTGGATTATTTTACAGCAACTGCATTTCAAAGTGTTTTGACTGGAGCATTCCTCTGAGGAACTCTACCTCATACTGGAGTTAAATACTGTCAATTTACTAGCTGGCAAACAATGCGACAGAAGCACTTTGCCGCATCATGGAATAGTATATTCCCGACTTTATGTGCCTTCTCAAACGCATGCCAACAAATCTCTAGTTTATAGCTCTGCTAAAATAATTATTACCCTAAATGTGCAAATATTCCATGCTAGTGGATGCTGCCCTGGTCTCATTCCTCAGAGACAATATGCCATCCTTCTAACGTTCACAGAGATGCATTTGGATGTCACATTACTCATGTGGGGAGTAACATTCTAACTAAAGTCTACATTTCATTTAAATAAAATTAACCCCCAATCAACTGAAGGATGCCCTCAAATTTTACATTCAGGCAACTGGCTCGATAAGGGTATAATGTCACATTCTCATTCAATCAGAGGGATTTTCAATTGACAGCAGTAAAGAGGACAGAACAGGACTAGGGGTCGGGGACAGGGGAGGTTGGTGGAGTTTCCACTTTTGTACAGGCCCTAGGAACATTGAAGAGCAAATCTAAATCCAACCAAAAATTAGATTAAGGGGCCATTCTTTTCTTCACACAGACAAAAACATTATGAACTCATTCCACCTATTGGATTCTAAATCAACACTAGCATATTTATAAAAACTGCTTCAAAAGGGCCTGCAAATGTAATTATCTACTTCAGAGACATTTTAAATCTCAGTTTTGCCCACATAGAAATGAGCAGCAGATCATTTCCCACATTAACCATTTTGCAGTTTGCCCAATTACAAAAGTTCTTCTTCAGGCAAATTGCACTCATTCCCTTTGCCGCAGCATCTGGCGACAAAGTAATCAGGAGACTCTTGGGACTTCCATTTGTGAGACATGTATAGGAGTCTATTAACCCAGAAGTTGATTTATACTTTGAGCTGTCCCTCAAGTACTCACCCCATCATCCCTGGTTCTTTCTTTATTATTCCCAGAAAAACCAGATATATTTATTCTGCACAGCCTCTACTTGCTGATGGCAAGTAATATTTCAAGGCATCTACTCTTGGGTTCATTTTTGTCTAGTTCTGAGAAGTAAAGCTATATATTTTGCTGAGGTGGCTGCAGTTCTGTAAAGATTTCACTCACTGCTTAATCCCTAGTCAAACTGCTGCCTTCCATTCTTTGTTGACCTTCTGTGGTTTTTTGTTTCATTCAAACAGTTGCAGGGCTTGTTTGTTTCATTCTGTGGTTTGCTGTTCTGTCCTATTATTTTTCCTCCTTTCGCTTCTATTTTACTTTATTTTTCAATGTTGTACACCTTAAATAGGTTTTGATGAGTCTGGGTCTGTGCCTTTAAGAGAAAGGCCTATACTAACAGGTTTTAGCCACTAGGGGGGAGTTTGCACCAAGTAAGGAGTGATGACGACATGACACAAAATTTGGCATGAAAGTGAAGGAAACAAAATGGGTGATTCAACTGACTTCTGCACACAGGTAAACTGCTCCAGATTAGAAAATCACCTTTTATTGCTTAAAATGCCATTTTGTTTTGAACAGGAGAGCTGCATAGCTAAAGTGACAACATTGTTTGATGGCCAATGTAAGTTTTAAGCCTGTAAGAAGCCTTTTGGCTGTCAATTTTACTTTAACCCTTGAAGGCCTTCTGACTGTGTCTTAACATTTAAGTCAGGAAGCAGGATGATGCTTTGTTTCTTTGTTTTTGTAAAAAGCTTGAAAGATTTGGAACCTTAAGTAGAAAGAAGGCAAGTCTGCCTCCTGGCTATTTAAGCTGGAGATCTGTACTCACATGAAGTTATTGTGGTTGATCGAGTTGGAAATCATCTCTAACCTAATCAAAACCTTCCTGAGAGGTATTCTGCTCAAGAAGAAAGGTTTTACCATTGATGCTTTGTTGGAAGACAGATACCAGTACAAAGCCATAGTAGCAGGCCAATATCAACTATATGCTGTGTGTTCAGACATGACTACTGTTACCAAAGTGCACCAAATCTGCAGGATCTGTCATAGTTCAATTTGTCAGACCCATCCATGAGGAGGAATTCCTTCTGTCAGTGTCTTTGGAACTCCATGCCACAGAGGGCTGTGGGAGCAGAGTCCTTTTGTATACTTAATGCTAAGATAGTTAGATTCTTGATCAGTAGGGGTATCAAGGGTTTAGAGGTAAGGGCAGGAAAATGGACATGAGGAATGTTGGATCAGAATGATCCTGTTGGATGGGGAGTAGGCTCGAGGGGGATAAATAGTTTACTTTGTTCTTTTTTTCTTAGAGTCTCATGGTAAAAGCCAAGTCGGACTCCAAAACAAGATCCAGGTGGTCAACAAGGTGGTATAACTCCACAACGCTGATGGCATGGAAAGTCATGCAAATGTGTCAATTGCAAGAACAGCCAACAACTGAAACGCAACCTTTGGAAAATGACCAAGCCTTTCATTTTGTCAACTTCTCTCACCATGTCAACTGTCTAAGATGGCTAAAACCATCAACATCATATGCCCTGAAAGGCAGATCAACACACTGTGAAAGCCAAAATTGATGCACGAGCACTTGCCAACATGTTACTAATATACATCCTTAAAGACATGTACCTCAACAAATGGCACTTCATGACACAGCCAACGAAAGACCGTCTCATTGTGTATAACAGATGCAGTGGCACAATTGTACAGCAGTACCAATATGAAAGCTCAGCTTGAACTGCAAAATATTTGGAAATCTACCTGGTAGATACTGATGGTCCACCTGTGGCAGAGCTACCAGTCTGCTCAGAGCTCAACACTGTAACCAGATATGAAATTCAAACCACACCCACTGTGGTGGGAATGAAAGAGCCTTAGGATTTTCCTCTTCCAATACAGAGAGGAATGAAAGACAGATGACCAGCAAGCTGGAGAGAATGACCACAACTTCACAACAGACAGAGGGCATTTGTGAGAAATCCAGTCACACATATCTGGATTCCAGCAGGGATTTCTAGAAGATCCAACCAGGTAAAGTTTTATGAAATCATTACTGATCGTGGTGCTAGATTATGAAGGAATAGAAGCCAGCTCTGGCCAATGTATGACCCACAGAGTGAGGAAGAACACAGTGGCAATGACAATGCTGAGTGACAGCAACCAGCAGCAAGACAACCAAAATGTGAGCCAAAGAGCGCTAAGAATAACACATCTCTTTTTCCAGATAGGATATGACCCATAGAATCATACAGTACAGAAGAGACCCTTCATCGGGTCTGTACTGCCAGCACTAATCCCATTTTCCTACACTAGACCTATAGTCTTGAATATTATGACAATTCAAGTGCTCATCCAAGTGCTTTTTAAAGGTCATGAGGTTTCCCGCCTCAACTCCCCTCCCAGGCAGTGCATTCTGCACCACCGTTATCCTCTGGGTGAAAAGGTTTTTCATCAAATCCCCTATAGACTTCCTGCCTTTCAGATCAGGACAAGTTGTCAAACCCCCAAAACATTATACCAAAACTTGAATTACTATTCTTGTTAACTTTGTTTAAATATGTCTGTAATTGTTGAAATGTAACACGTGCCTATGTTCAATGATATTTATCATTTGAGATTTGTTTTCTTTGGAAAAAGGGGTATGTTGTGTTATGTCTTGTAGCAGGTGTATGACATACCTCTAAGGGACGTGCTCATGATGTCATCACTCTACCATAGCATTTGAGCTAATGACATTAAGCTCTCAGTCTCCATCATACAGAGTCCTGTTGCAGCATGACACGGAGGGAAACATACTGCCATACATTTGAATTGTTTAGCTTCAGCCCAGGTATGCAAGTGCCTGTGATTATAATGTACCCTATGTAAATACCAGGAGCTAAAATAGAAGTTCACTGAATTAGTTAATAATACTTGATGTGTCTCATATTAGTTCCTATAACACAAATGTGAGTATCACAGTGTGATAGTGGCAGATCATCAGTTATCACACATTATTATCACATCACAGATTGTTAATATTATGATGCAGGAATAAATTGCAAAAGCCACATACACACTAAGTACATCTGGAATTGGGAACAGGAAGTAAATCAAACATACGACAGGCAATTTACATTAAGGCAGCTTGAGTTCCATAAAGAAAGAGAGAGATCCATGACCAGTATGGGGCCAGTTTCCAACCCACCAAACCAAAGCCTTATTAAATGAGAAAGCCCACTGCTTTACATGAAAATTTGTGGCACAGTGAGTCTGATGAACGCATCCAAGAAAGTAAACATCTTGCCTTTTTTTGAAAATATATCCAGAAGTGTTATCATACACGGCTGAATGTTTTCTTTTCCCACCACGTCATCGTGACCTTTTTTTTTGTTTTTAAACTATTAACCACGACCAGAAAAACACCCATGTAACCAGCTGAATATTTACATGCCAAATAAATGCAAACCATACACCTTGTCTTTAGGATATTTTCTAATCATCTTGTTCAGAGATGTTATTACAAACCTCTGGAGCAGGTGGGACTTGAACACCGGCCACCTGGCTCAGAGGCAGAGACACTATCAATGTATCACAAGACCTCTTACACCTTGCCTTTATATGGTAACTTCATCATGACTCTCACATGCAACCAACTGCTTTGAAAACTAGGTCAATGCTAGAAATTCAGCGAATACTGTAAAATTAGGCAAATCCAATACCAATCCTTCATATAGCAATGTCTTAAAGGCTGCACTGAGCAGACAATCGGTTAATTGATCAAAACTTATTCATCATCTGCCCAATATGAAAGACAGAGTCAAGTCTGGTAATGTTTACATGTAAAAAAACTAGAAGTTAGGTGATTATAGTATCATTAAGCCAGGTCAATTAGTTACACATTACCTCATTCGTTTTACTTAACAAAAAAAAACACACTTTAAAAAGAAGTATAAAAGCTCCATGGTAATAGGAAAAGTGAAACTAATCTTACACTTGGGTGGCACAATCCCCAATCTGATTTATGCTGATGATGCACTGTGGTCAAGAAAAGGCTGAAAATCTCTTTGTATAGAAGCATAAATGTGACTGTTCTTTATGTTCTTGCCAAATATTTTACTTGGAAAAGAAAGACTTAAAACTGAAAGGTATTTAGCTAGAAGGCATTTAGTTAGAAGGCATTCAGCCACAAGGCATTTAGCTGTTTCCAAGAAGCAACAAACTGACTGCTGTTTTACATTTCCTCAATTGGCTATTTGCAATCTGGTTATAGACGATGTATCACAATCATATACTGTTATCACAACCAACTATTGTGTTCACTTAGGGGTCTTGTGATCTTGTGTCAGTTTAGGAAAATATATACAAATGTCAATTGTCAGTTTTGAAGTTTAATTTTTGTGACACTTTAGTTATAAAAATATATTCAGAAATTCACTCACTATTTTATTAATTATTTTAAATACATTTCAGTAGCATTGATATACTTAATATCAGTGATAACAGCAATAACTGTGTTCCAGAAATAAGTCTGTTCCCCTTTCAAACTTCAGACTTTCTTCACTTTCACTGGAAACTCTGAACTGCAACCAAGTTGTTCAGTTGATGAAAGCTGGTTTTGCACGGGATGGAGTGATAAAAATGATAAGACTCATTGGATATTTGAAAAATTGATATATGATTTGTACACATTTTTCAAACTTTCTATAATGCAAATATAAAACAATGCATGTAACCTACATGAAGACTCATTTGTAAGAATGAATGGTCCATTTTGAGAATTTGTTTATACATATGCAAAACAAAGGAGAATTTTCAATTAGAAGGTGAAGGAGGACTGTCCTGGTTACAGCAATGCTTCTTAGCGACTGTTCCTGAACTGAAGAGAATGTTGCAATTGTGTTTCTCTGTACCAACAAGTGTGCCGCATCCAATATTTACTGCACACTTTAAATAAAATGTGCCATTTGACTTAAAGGTGTTGCATTTTGCAGGTAAGAGAAATCTCATCAGTCATTTGCTCAGACTTTAAAAAAAAATTGTTGCTGCAAGATAAAAATATCCATTATTCTCAGATTTACAAGAGAGAACACCATTAATTTTGAACATGGAAGAAAATGTGAGAATGCAAATCTCTCACTTGCCTTAATCAAACAATGAAAGTTTGAGGAATTCACAGCAGGCCTCAAGATACACGGGTTAGCAGGTGAGTTTGCCCCCAGAAGTCAGCAAAATGCCCAGGAAAATTCAACTAACGGGACTTTCAAAGGAGGAATTCTTGTCCTCTCCCATGCCCCCCCTCAGTTTTTATTTCTCTCTCTCTCCCTCTTTCTCCTGCTTGCTCCTCAAGAGACGGAATCCATAATTGGAAGAGCTGCCAGGGCAAGACAGGGAGAGCCTGTGAATGAAGGAGCTATGCTGGGGTCAGTCCTGCAGAGTCAAAGAGATAAGATCAGAGAAGGCCTAGGGGAGCTTTCATGCAGTTTGCTGGATGGAGCAATGTGAGCTCCCATTTGGGTTGGGCTTGATTTTCAGCTGGAAGTGAGAGGACCCAGACTCAAAGCCTGACCCAGCTCCAGGTACTTGCCTCCATCCTGGCTCAGCTTCCTGGTCTGCCCCAATTTGGCAGAGGAATCCGGGGAGCCTCTCTGACTGCTTGTTCTTGTGGCTGAGGATTAGCAGCTCCAGCAAATATCACCCCCTTCCCTCCCCCAGTAACAACCACATGGTCCTCAAGTGGTGATGTCACACGGACCCTGTTTTGGGACCATGAGGGAGTTGGGAAGTGATGTCACAGTGAAGACCAGCTAGATTTTGGAGAAGATGATCTCTGCAAACATTAACATTAAAAAAAAGGCTTTGCAAAGATCAACTGCTTTAAAAGATGCTTTTGTGGACTGTATTTCATCCCTGTCAGTGACACTGCAGCTTTAGTGTTGGGAAAAGAGTAGTCCTTAATTTTTCTTGGGGGCAAAAATAATCTGCTTACTCTGATTCTTGGACAATGTGTTGTTCTGAAAGTTCAAATTAATTCACATTAATGCCAAATAGAATTTTGGTGCTGCTAAAAGCGAACAGATAATTAAACAGAAACCATAGAGTATCTGTTCAATAACATACTGCATACTGTGAAGATGAATGTCTATTTGAAAATTTTTAAAGAATACACAAAATGTCTGCCATTTTCACTGGATAGCAAATTAGCATGGAGAATTCAATTCTAAATGGTGAAAATTCCAAATCAACATTTTATGTTCTTTATATTTCAGTCCAAGAATTTCATAGGGGCCTGACAGCATGAGCTGTGGGGAGAAATGTGGCAGAATCACACCAAGACTACAGAGGCTTATCTTGACATTAGGAACAACTGCCTTGAAAGTGGAGTCACAGGTGGATAGGACAGTGAAGGCGGCATTTGGTAAGCTTGCCTTTATTGGTCAGTGCAGTGAGTACAGGAGTTGGGAGCTCATGTTGAGGCGGTACAGGACATTGGTTAGGCAACTTTTGGAATACTGCATGCAATTCTGATCTCCCTGCTACAGGAAGGATGTTGTGAAACTTGAAAGGGTTCAGAAAACATTTACAAGGATGCTGCCAGGGTTGGAGGGTTTGAGTTAGAGGGAGATGCTGAATAGGCTGGGGCTATTTTCCTTGGAGCATCAGAGGCTGAGGGGTGACCTTATAGAGATTTATAAAATCATGGGAGGCATAGATAGGGTGAATAGCCAAGGTCTTTTTCCCCAGGAAGGGGAGTCCAAAACTAGAAAGCATAGGTTTAAGGTAGAGGAGAAAGATTTAAAAGGGACCTAAGAGGCAACATTTTCACACAGAGGATGGTGCATGTGCAGAACAAGCTGCCAGAGAACGAGGAGGAGGCTGGTACTACAGCACCATTTAAATGGCATCTGGACAGGTATATCAATAGGAAGAGTTTTGAGGGATATGGGCCTAATGCTGGCAAATGGGACTAGATTAATTTAGGATATCTGATTGGCATGGACGAGTTGGACCGAAGGGTCTGTTTCCATGCTGTACAACTCTGACTCTGACTCTATAACTTTCTGCATCTTTTAACTAAGTTCCAGATGTTGAGGTGAGATTCTTGCTCGGCAGCGACAAGTTACCTATTAAGGAAAATTACTCCCTGTTAATGACCTTATTAATTGCACGTCTTGCCTCGTTAATATGCAGCTTCCTTTCCTACCACCAAATGCAAGCAAACGACACCAAGCATTTTTGACATGAAGGTCAGAGCAACTTCAGCTCACTGCATATTCCAAAGAACATCCATGTTGGGCACCTGTCACACACACACACTCCACATCCAAGGACATTGGTATCCAACACGTACCAGTCCCTAACGGCCCACATGGCACATCTCCGGTTACTTACAGTACATGTCTGTACTTCATTGCTGCATTTTGGAACACAATGGCCGAGTATCATTATAATGCTGCAGCAAGGACATGCACCCACCTCATGGACTGGACCAGGCTGCACCTCCCGGCTCTTTGCTCACTCACTCTGAGCCTACCTGGATGCTCACAGCATCTCTGCATTGCCTTGCCGTTTTGTTCCCTGCCGGTCAGACAGAATACCAGGTCCACACTAGTGCTGAGTTGCCTTGCTGTTTAGTACAGACACAAAGCCAGCACACTTGCCAGCAGGCCTCAATCAAGGCAAGGGGTCTCAGAGCTCCTGGCGTAGTAAATCACCAGTCCACGGTTAGTCAGTATCTCAGGGTGGTCGCAGTATGAATGCTCTTTACCTAAGGGGTGAGGAGCCGTATTTCGGTCACCCACCATCCATTTTGATTCTTTCTGCCCTTTTGCAGGCTGTTTTCCTCCTGGAATGAGAGGGAGGGTCAGGTATAAAGGGAGATTAAGCAACCTGAATGAGTGATTAGGCAGCGCGCAGGGCATGTGTAAGGTTAGTGGTGTTGGGGTCTGGGGTGAGCGAAAGGGAGTGAGGGAAGATGTTGTGGGCAATAGTGAAAGTAGGAGAATATGGGCCTTGGTGGGGGGGTGGGTACAGTAACAGAGATAGAGAGTGTTTATGGTGGCATGTACATTTGGTCATCGGGAGGTCATTGACCTTCCTCCAACAGTGCTGTACGTTACTCCAGTCAGCTGAGACTGTATGAACCCACTGAGAGGCTTGGACCAGGCTGGCATGGTTTAGTGTCATGGCCCCCACTGCTGGTCCAGGGGCCTCTGTGCCACACCATTTTGCAGGCCCTCCTAGCCCTAGGCAATAAAGCTGGTCCGCCAATTTCTGTTTCTCTGCCATTGGGAAATATTTCAGGAAATGTGCAAGCCAGCTCCAGACTGACAGCACTTGTCCTGGTGCACAACAGTCTTTTCTTTTTAAAAAAGATGGTGCAGGTGCCAGGGATGCCAGTCAATTCTGGGATAGTCTGGCAGTGGTAAGTTATTCCTAGTTGGGCGAGTAGCAGGATGGGGCTAGAATTGGGAGTGACAGTCACTATAGGGGCAAGGTAAATAACTATTGATGAGTTTGGCCAGACATTTCAATAGACCTCATGGAGAGAAACCCTTAATTAAATTTGAGGAAACTAACACTTAGTCGAAAAACGTTTGATTCAGCCCATAGAATCCCATAGAGCCTTCACTGTATGGAAAGATACCTTTCAGCCCATCATGTCTGCAGTGGTCATCAAGTATCTACCTACTTTAATCCCATTTTTCAGCCCTTAGCCCACAGCCTTGTATACTATGACATTTCATGTATTCATTTAAATACTTCTTAAATGTTGCGGTAATTCCTTCTCTACCACCCTTTCAAGCAATAAGTTCCTGATATCTATGGAATGTCTATTATCGTTATTTTTACCAACTTCCAGACAGCATTTGATAAAGTCCTTCATAACAGACTGTCAGCTCAAGTTAAAGCTCATGGAATTGAAGACCATTAAGGACAAATTATTGACCCTGTTCGGAACTTGACTGCAACAAGAGATAGAGTAATTTGCAGATGTGACTGACGTTGGACTACGAATGTCTGTAATGGGGCCTCAATGTATGGAATCTTTAGTAATTGAGCTATCTTATCGATCTAAAGAAGAAACTATAGAAAGGAACTGAACGCAAATACTGAAGGTAAGTTTACAACATGTCCGCATCATTCAATATAAGAGTTAGGCAGAATGAAAAAGGAGCCCCTAAAACCAAAATATAACCCCTGAAAATCAAGATGTAGCTCTCATGAAAATTTCAGAAGCAGCCCTCAGAACTGCAAGACCCCTAATTCACATCTAGTCTGTAGATATAGGTCTGGGCCCACTTCCAAATGAGTAAGGGAATTGATTAAAAACCCGACCCGGATTTTTATATCAGCAAGTTTGGAATCATTTTCTTAATTGATTGAGACAAGTTCTGCTTTTATTTATCATTAGATTTATCTGTTAAATTGTATGCTGAGAATAAGCATCATATACTGCCACCAATACCTTCTTTGTGCAAGTTTCTCCAGGGCCAGTGTGGTCCACTGAATGGATTAGAATAGGCAACCTATTGTTTAATTGGAAGAGTCTCTGATAGTGAACAAGATATAGTTTATTGCATCTCTGCAACAATTTTCATGTTACACAGATATGGCATGGATCATTACAATGATTGTTAGAGAACCTAGTCTTAGATCTGACTCTCTCAAGATCTGTACTGACTCTCCCCACTGATCCTCATCACATCACAACAGTGGATAGTATTTATGGCACTCAATCAGAATGAATTCTTTGAGAGTCATATGCAACACACATGATATCTGACATCTAAACCAATTTCACTGATAGCGAAAGGCTGTACATCTTAAAGTAGTATTGGGAATTTAGATAGGTATAGCTTTTAGACTGCAAGTAAATGCTGGGTCCCTCTTTATATCAGGGAAAACCAAACCTAGGTCCTAACTGCATGAACACAGTTAGAGAAAATCATTCATTCATAGATCTCAAAGAAAAATTAAATCTGCAAATTAGGCAGTCCCTTTGGACTACCAGCTAATATTTCTAATATCGTGGTGGCTTACATTTTAAACAACAGCAAAGAAATCAACAAATGGTCATAAGAAAACAATCAAGAACGATAGTTTGTCCTGATTTCAACAGCAATAATTATAATGAAACACAGCTTTGGCAGAAAATTTCAGTCATCGAGAACTTTCACTTCTATATTGCTGTGGAGAATTTCTATCTTGTTATAAATTGGAAAATTGAATATTTTAAAATGAAAGTGGACATCCTTTATTCAGATTTCATTTAATCTCTAGGGCTATTCTTTCACTGGCCTCTCAATCAGGATCCTCAGTGTACTCTGCTTCTCCATTGGTATCCTGATTCTAGTCATTGCTCTCTCACACCTCTAGTCTCTCGGCCCATCATCCACTGGCTTCTGGCTAATCACCTAATCCTGTGTTAGGTCCTGCATCCACCTCTTCTCCCTCATCGTATGAATAGGGAGAACTTCTTCTCCCTATTCATTATTAATGGTCATCATTATTCCGCTGTTCTATTTTGTTCCCTTTTCTATTTGGTATCGATAACCTTCTCATCAATCTCTAAAACTGTCACAAACCAAATTCTTCCATAACTTGCGTCATGTGTCATTTCCATGTTAGTGTTAACTGTGCCTCAGACACAAACTTCTTTCTCCCACTTATTCCTATTCAGCCATTCCTAGTCCATGCTCTTCTCCCTCTTTATCCTTCCACCCGATCATGGCCCTAGCCCAGCAGCAAACCCTCTTCAATTATTCTTCCCATCTGTTACTACTCCAGTCTACCTTCTCTCCGCCACTGCATACTCACCAAAAAAATCACTTGTTTATTTCTGCTTTTGCTCAATGACTCATTAAGCATAATACTCAAAGGAGTTAGGGGATAATATTCCCAGCATATTATTCATTATTAATGCTTCCAGAACTGACAATGGAGAATGCCAAGAAATACGAACATATAGGAAGAATGGCTGAAAATACTCTAACTACAGTGTATCAATTGTATTTGGCCACATTATAGAAACTCTTTAGGAATGCTTTTCTAAAGGAAGTAAGTTAATCATTATCCGAGAAGATGGGACACAATAGTCTCCTTCTGCATCATAGTTCTACAGGGACTAAGAAATGGGCACAATATTACTTCACCAATAACGTTATTGATTGAATATGATAAAATGACATTAGTTATTCCAAGTTTTATCGTGTATGAAATTTCAAAACAATTAAAAAGCATCTACAATGATAGATTCTATGGGAGTTTCTAGGCAGAAGCATCATGGGTTTGTCACCGAATCCAGTAGGATAATTTTTACTTGCTGATACCTTGAAAGCTTCTTCAAATCAATATAGTCCCAGTACGCAAGAAACACTTCGAACACAACTGAAAATACTGGCTTAGGAAATTTGGCCATAAAGGGATAAACAGGCTAGAAATACAACTCGTGAGACTAACATACAGTTTCTTTAGTCTTTGCTATTCAAATTCTACCTCCTACCAGCATGTATTAGAAATCTTCATTTTTGGAAGGGATCTGATAACTGTTCTTGTCTTTATTGTAAACCTAGGATTTTCCACTGGACAATGTGTTGGTTCCACACAGGTATGTTGAATTGAAGCAATTTGTTCCTGATTCTTTGGATACTGATTCACAGATATATTTAGAAACACAGGAAGTCACAATGTTAAAGGTTTTCCTACAGTGCTAGAAAAGTCTGAAAGATCTTTCACCTTCAGGATGCTTTAATATTCACCCACCATGTGGATCCAACCACAGTATATTTAAGATTAGATTTATATTTAGGTGTTGCTGCAGTATATTCATAGGATTAGATGAACCCTGGCCTCAGAATTATGACATATACAAGGAACAGGACTTGGTCCCACCAGCTTCTGACTACGAGTTCAGCTCTGCATCATTTGCCAAATTAATTATTTTCTCAACACAGATTGGACAATGAATAGATGTTAATCTTAAAGCTGAATCCTTACCTCTGGGGTGAGGTATTTACTGATCATTTCTTGTCCTTTTTCCTCACGTTTTTCATCTGGCATAACTTCATACTCCGCCTGGAAAGAAATGGTAAGAGATTATAAATCATTGAAAGCTATTGTTGACAGGAAGTCCAAAAACACAAAATGGCCCATTCTGAAGATTCAACTTCGAACTGTAAACCACTGATTATTGAGACCTTCATTTTTCTTTGAAATAGGATTTCAAAAATACCATTACATACATGTGACATTTCATTTGGCACAGAAGTTATAACAATCTTCATAACTGAGATGCAATTCAAGATGAAGCATGATGCAACATGATTAGAGTTAATGCGCTCTGTTCAGAAGACCATTAGGGATAATTTCAGGACTTTGGTCCTTGGTTATGAGAAAAGGTCACACAACTGAACTGTTTATTGGAAAAACAGATAAAATGGAAACATGATTCAATTTATTAATAATGTAAAACTGGATCATGCATCAAGTTACTTAACTGAGATAGTGAGCAGCGAATGAAAATAAATCCTGACTGGATTGAATACGCAATCAGGAGAAAAGAAAAATTACGACATTCAAAGTGACAGTCTTGGTTGCTACCTGTGCTTTACTCTGCAATGATTACTACATGCTTTATCCAAATACAACCAGTTGAAATATGCTGGTGGTTGAAGTTTTACAATTTGAGTACACATTTTATGAAAAGTGCATGCATCCATAAGCTCTACTGATATCAAAGTGACAGCACAGATAATTCATACGAAATCCATCATCACATTGTTCAGTCTGTTCTAAAGCAATCTGCCCACGTAGCCTAAAGTTGATCCGACTGTCTTAAAAGATTAACACATTTTTCATAAAATCTAATTATAACAAAAGACAATTGACAGCACATGCCATATCCACTACACTGTGCCAACTGTAATACTGCCAAAAAGTAGCATTGTTCTCTCAGCATCTGTTGCTTATTTTCAGTAATTACTTTTACAGTCCTTATTAAAATATGTGCTTTACTCCATTAGAATTTGCTATGGCCTTGTAGATAACTACCAACAAAAATGTACGAATTAAGAATGTCTTATTCAAAATTATTAATGTTTTAAGTTTGGAGTTAAATTTCAACTTCAGCAAACACACAACTGGGGATAGTTCAGCTTTTAGTCTTCCTTTCCATTGAACCACAGCTCATTTTCGTCCCATATGGAAATTCAATTCCAATTCCATTATAGTGGAGAAATTCCATGAACAAGCAGGTATAATTTGACTTGAGACATCCTTCAAACTTAAATTTTGTTCGCCTAGGGATAACTCATAAGTTTTTGGTAGGAGATAATGAACGGAGTTGTTGGTTTGGCCATTCAGTTGTCAATTGGACACGGTATATAACCAGTGGCTGACCCACCAACACCATTTTAAAACCTTACCAAAGTGAAAGTGACCTTGCAATAGTATATCTTTCTTTTCGCTGGCTAGGTTGAGGGTTGGCAGTGAGGGAGAGGAAAATCTCACGCGTTATATTGGTCCAAAATCACTTGGTTTAAGCCAACACCAAAAGCTCCACCCTTCATTTCTATTTGCATTTGGAGTTTAAACTGCATTTACTTTGAGCACCATTTTGAGATAGGCTGAATTTTCAATAATAATTGCTGTAAAGTTCGGCACAGCAATCACAGCATCTGAGGTACTCATGAAAAACATCAAAGACCTCATCTGATGCATACCAAGCACTTAATGAGGGAAAAAAACAGACAAATGTGGATACAAGTTTAGACAAACCAAACATTTATTTGGGTGAAACTTGGCGAAGTGAACACACTACACTTGCTGAAAATATGCTGAAGAGGTTAACTTTTTGAAAAATTAATTTTTGATTTGCCCCGTGAGTAGCAACAAAGAGGGACTGATCAACTGTTTATTTGCTTATTAACTTTTCAGACAGCGTGCAGGGCCAATCAGATTCTAAAAAAGTGAGAAAATAATGGCTTAGGTCAAATAGAGTCCAGAGGTTGAAAAACATTTCCCTCGACGCAAAACTGATTGTTCCCAGCTTTGTTACAGCCAATGAAACTAGAGATTACATGATAAAAGAGGTTTGCTACTGGATGCTTATCCATATTGCCAACATGCTGAGATGCTCAAATTTCAAATTACTGACTCATCATCCCTCAGAAGAAATCTTATGAGATAAATCATCACAGGGATCATCTTTACTGAGAAAATGTTCAGGCATATTGCTAAAATTATTTGCTACATACATTAAAAAAAAGAAGATCCTTCTGATAGAGCAACTGGAAAAGGAGATCTTTATCATATTAGAACTTTATTTCCATGAGGTTATTGGCATTGACAATATGGGAACAAAATAAGCAGGAAAGGAAACACTGGAATGTTTCCAAGGACCTGTTCCAGTGTCCCTCGGATGAACAGAATTTAGTGGCACAGACAAGAACAAAAGGGAAGGCATTAACTTATTAAAATCCTTCAAGTTTATTTCATATGATGAGAGATTTTTAAATTGACTAACTAACTAACATTGAAACAGTAGTTTCACTTAAACAACAAAAGTAAATTATAGTACTGTGAATAATTGTTGACTTACCAATATGATCCACAAGTAATCAATGAGTTATCATTACCAAATTACACTATTCCTTTTATTAGCTCTAACACTTTGTTGTCACTCTTCTTTCTGTCTTACACATCCATCACTTTTCACCTTCCATGTGTTTTTTTTCAAAGCTGGAAACAATTCCATAACTTTCCAGGGGTACCACTTTACAGCAACATGGTCAACAGAATTTTTCTCAGCCGTGATTTGAAGACCATTTCTCTACAGTTCAATCATTCATTGTAGTGAATGTGCCAAGAGATGTTTCAAGATGATGTAATAAGGAGCTACGCAAAAATAAAAAAATCTTTCTTCGCCTTACAGCCCATTACAGAAAGGCAGACAAGAAACAAAGTCTTGCATTTATATAGTGCCTCTCAAAACCTCTATATCCTAAAGCATTTTATAACCAACCAAGTATTTTCAAAGGTTTGTCACTGTTGTCACTCAGAAAATGCAATTTGTGCACAGGAAGCTCCCACAAACTGCAATGCGATATTGACCAGGAAATTTGTTTCTCTCTGGTTTATTTGAGGGATGAACATTGGCCTCAATACCATCGATAACTCAATACCATCGATAACTTAGCTTCTCATCTTCACAATGCTGCCAAGGGATTTTTTATATGCATTGAGGGGACATGTAGTGCTTTTGGTTTCATGCTTGGGTGTAAGGATGGCAGCAGCGCAGTAAGCAGCGTCCTGGCCTTTCCCCTTTGTCTGCTTTTTCTTTTCTTTATTTTCCCCCCTTCTTCTTTTCAGTTTTTTGTTTTGTTTTCGCTTATAGTTACCTTTTAAAGACAGCTCTTTTGGTAGAAAGGCGGTTTCGACGGGGTCCGGAGAGGTGACGTATTCAGAGGCAGTGTGGCCAAAGTGTCAGCCGGCTTGTGGAGCCTGAGGCAACACTCTTGCCTTGGCATGGATGGCGCTGGTGAAGTCTGCAGCAGGACCCTGTGGCAGAGTGGAGTGGCCTGGTGAAGTCCGGAGTGGCATCTGGCAGCAGCATGGCATGGGCTGGTGAAGCCCAGAGTAGGACTGTAGCGGCGGCGAAGGCAAAGTTGGACTCTCTTTAAGTTATCTTTTCTTTTTTTTTATTTTAAATTAATGAGAACATTGCCAATGCATGGCGACTGTATCAACTTTTCACTGTATTTTGTATTGAATACACTTGACAATAAGCGACTCAATTCAATTCATCCAAAAGATGAAACATCTGACAATATAGCACTCTCTCAGTAATGTCCTAGTGTCAGCCTAAATTTTTGTGCTCCAGGATTGGGAGTTCAACACATCACCTGGTACAGAGAAGAGACTAATACAAAATAAACCACAACTGACACAGCATTGTAAACTATGGGATTACAGTAGTTCAAAAAACATTTAACATTTCCTTATCTATTTTTATTTGAATTCAGTTCTCTACTTTATGCAGCAGCATCAATTTGGCAGCAGGCATAGAAACGTTTCATCCTTTTCACTTGCTATTTTAGTTCTCCCTGTGCCCTGCAAAGCAAGGCTAGGCAATGTCCCTCCATTGTTACATTACTTAATCTGAAATAATCTTTCAAGCGATCAGTTTCTAACCTCCCTGTTTCTTTATTTCGTAACCCTTAGCCCCGAGTCCTTCATGAGATGCCAGTGCAACAAAGGAACAGGAATTGGCCATTTAACCCCGCGAGCCTGTTCTACCAATCAATCAGATCATGGCTGATCTGTATCAGTTGTATGACTTACTTCAAGTCAAGGCACATTGGTATATCACACCATCATGTAAACAGCCTCAGGCAATGAGGATAATATTACAAAGTGGAAATATACATTCCAGGTTAACTTAGAACGAGTTCTCTGGCTTCCTCAACACAAGACATACCCAAGTCTTGGCATTATTTTCCCAAGTCTGATCTCTTTATTAATGTGTAAATGTTAATTTTTTTGGAGGCGGGAGGAGCACATTCATTTCAATTCATGGTTCAGCAATAATCAGGAGCTGAATCCCAGAGAAAAAAGCAAGTAGACTAAACGTAATTCTCCAGAAAACATGCTTCTATTCATTATGCAACAGGAAATGTCTGCTTGAGAGAGATTGACCTTTAAGTACAAAAAAGTTATTTTTGCAAGATAGATCAATATCAATTAACTGCATTTTTTCCAGTTATCAACTAAGAATGCAGCGTACAAAAACACCACCTGCAATCTTCGATTAGGAATTTGCAAAGATAATCCAGCCTACTCACTTTGCCAGATTTTTTTGAAACAGAACCACAACTTTATATCAGCCTTGGTCACAAAATGGACAGAAGAACCGAGCTCCAGAGGTGAGGTGAGAGTAGTTACTTGATATCAAGACAGCATTCAACTGAATATGGCATCAAGAGCTCTAATAAACTGGTATGTTTGGGAATTAGGGGAAAACTCTCTACAAGTCAGAGTTATGATCTCACACAAAGAAGGATGACTGTGGTTGTTGGACGTCAGTCATCTCAGTCCCAAGCCATCTCTGCAGGAGTTCCTTCATCTAGTTTCCCAAACCCAATCATCTTCTCCTGCTTCATCAATGATCTACGCTCCATCATAAGACCAGAGATGGATGTTTGCTGAAGATTGCACAACGTTCAGCACTATTCACACTCCTCAAATACTGATGCAGCCAACATTCATTTGCAGGAAGATTTGGACAACATCCAAGCTTGGGCTGATAAGTGACAAATAATATTTGCAAGACACAAATGCCAAACAATGAGCATCTGCAACAAGGCAGAGTCTAATAATCACGTTGATGTTCAACGTGTCATTTAATCCCCCTCTATTAACATCTTGGGGTTACCATTGACCAAAAACTCAACTGTCCCAACCATACATATATTGTGGCTATGAAGCAGTATAGGAACTTGCCAGTAACTCACCTCCTCTGTCCTCAAAGCCTGTCCACCATCTACAAAGCACAAATCAGGAGTGTGATAAAATACTCCCCACTTGCCTGAATGAACGCAGCTCCAACAACACTCAAGAAGGTTGGCATCATCCAGGACAAAGCAACCCACTTGACTGACATTCCATCCATCACTTTTCATATTCCCTCCCTTCAAATTCCTGAAACTTCCTTTCAAATGGCATGGTGGGTCAACCTACAGTAAATGAATTGCAGTCACTCAAAAGGTAAACTCACCATCACTGCCTCAAGGCCAACTAGAAATGGGCAAAAAAGTGCAGGGCCCAGCACTTGTAACTGCAAAAACATAATTTTATTGGTGCATCTCATTAGCTTATACAAATTTCATCTTGCAGAGTAATGCATCAAGTAAAAAGGATTGTGTGTGTCAAGCTGAAGTGTTTTCTGATCACATATCTTACATCCCAGTAAGAAAAATGTCTAATGAGAATGTAGGATGGATTGTTTTCCTAATTTGACATAAAACTAACAGCACATGAGCAGATCATTAACCCCATCTATGACAGCATATATGTCCACACAAGCTTCCTGATGCCATTCTTCATCTAATCAACCAACATTTCCTTTTACTCCATTTGCCAACATGTGTTTATCGAATTTGCCTTTAATTGCAACAATGTTATTCACCTCAACCACTTCTTGTGGCAGCAAGTTCCACATTGTAACCACTGCCTGGGCAAAAAGGTTTCACTGGAGCTTCCTATTGGATTTTTTGGTGATTATGTCAGATATAAAGCTGCTAGATTAGTTTACCACGTCCCCCAACTAAAAAGGAAAATCTTCCAGGTCTACCCCATCTCAGCATCATAAGTTTAAGCACCTTTTCTGGGTAACCCCTCAGTAATTTTCTAATTTATGGAGAAAACAGCTCCACTCTGTTCAGCCTTTTGTTTATTTTTTTCCTCTCAATTCTAGTATCATCCTCATTAATTGTTTGTGCTTGCTTTTAAATGCAAATAAAGTTCTGTGGATGACCAGGTTTGATCTCTCTTTGTGCACAAACTTACAGGTTTACATGTGGCAGAACAGATTCTGAGTAGGCTGTTCTAAGAACTGACTTTGGATGAAGAACTACTGAAGCAGTTCAGCCCCTGTAAGACTGCCTTACTTAAAAGTGAGTTAATTGGACAATTACTCCAATTTATGGAACGTAACAGGTAGACATATCTATAATACATACAGTGATTTACATCCGTAAACTGAAGGAATGTGCCAGGACTGTCGTTTCAGTTCAGTGGTTGCATCAATGTTATAGTTCCAAGGCTACACCACATCCGCATTGGGTGGTGAGCAAAAGCCAGCCACAGTTGCAGGAATCTCTTCTGTGATAAGGCAGAGAGAATGTATAAACAGAATGGAGTGATGGGGGAGGGGCAGTGGTGGTGGGAGAAGCTGGAGGGGAAGCACAGACAAAGGAAACAGGCGAAAAACAGGAGAGAAAAACATTTTGGCTTGGCACTTGTGGTCAGCGACAAAGTGGTGGTGCCCGGCCCTGATATCAAAGAAAGCTTCCCAGAAAGATCTATGGCATGACCTTTTCCTTTCCTGGTGTCAATTTGAATCCAGTGGCAAATCAAGGGGGTGACCAGGCGCCCAGCAACAGTGATGTCATCGAGCAGGGTAAACAGCCAATCACATTGATGTATGTTCACGGCCAACACTTGGAAATAAAAACAACTGAATGTTTCACTTCATTAAGACTTCTTGATGGTGTGAAACAAATAACTGGGAAATGCACAGGGGTTAAGTTAGAAAATATCACAAATAAGTCTTCAGCTCATTTTTTAAAAATTGTGCATTTTCTCATCATAGACAAGAAATTTGACATTCTGTCAACGTCAAAGTTAATCTTTTTCCAGGGGCTGAACAGCTCAGCAATAATTCTGAATACAGAACACCAAAAAAAAAACTCAGAAAGAGGAGAGAGACAGACATATATATATGCAGGCACAGACAGACACACAAATGAAAGCCAGAGACAAGCTGAGAAAGCTATAAAAAGTATTAAGAAAGAGTGAGACACCACAAGTTAGGGCCAGAAAGAAACAAAGACAGGCAGAAACAGAGATCAAGACTATGCGAGAAAGAAAGACAGACACACTTTGGTGAAGATAAAGGCAAATACTGGTGAAAAGAGAGTCAGAAATGGGAAATCTCTGTTGGAAAACAGTTACTGTATTTCAGTTTTCAATTACAGGGCTGTTACATCCTCATGGATTTGTCTAATGCATGACTTGTATGTCTAATGTTAAACTGCACTGATGGCATAGTCCCAAGAGGCTTAAACAAATAATTTGGTCAAAATTAAGGCTCCATATGTGAGTCATTAGAACTTGGCACATGATCAGATTGTGAGCTGGTTCATTTAAAGACCATTAACCCCTACATATGCCTTAGTTTTGTGCAGAACGAATTGTATCACATTAAGTTGCCAAACTAAACCTCATTAACAATGTCATACCTGTAATAATTTTTCACCTGGATTAACTTTATATATTCCCCAGAAATAATGGAAACTTCAGAAGTAACATAATTGTAAGAGAGAAAATATGCCAGACTAAATTAAGTTGACAAGTCCAGATAGATGAAAACATTAATAAAGCACAAGAATCTTATTATTTTCTTCACATTTTAGGGAGAGACTAATAAATTTACAGAATAAAACGTAAAGTTGCCATAGTCTTACCAGACCATAGGGCTGTTCTCTTATTAGAGAAAGAGGACTGGTGGTAGCTTTTAACATTAGGGTCATCACACCTCAGGTGAGGGAAAAGGTTGAGAAGCAGTAATTTCAGCCGGTGTAAGAATTGAACCCATGCCGTTGGCATTACTCTGCATCGCAAACCAGCCAACTGAGCTATCTGACCCCCTAAGTATCTAAAAAATTGAAATAATAATTTCAATAAGCGGAGTACAACCTCACCTTTATTTTAGTTATCACAACAATACAGAGCAGGATCTTTTAAAATCAGCTCACCATATTTTAAAAGAACAGACAGAATCTTTTAGAATTTTGACCACATTACACATTCTTATTTACATTGCTTGTATCTCACTATTGTGGATTGATATGGAACATAAAACAAGGAACTAAGTCTCCCCATTCAGCATTTTCAATATCTCCTAGGAAACTTCAGAATTAATATTTATTATGCTTTCTGAGTAAGGTAACTTTTTTTTAAAAAAACAGGGCATAAAATGGGAAATACTTCAGTCTAGCATTGA